ATGTGGGCGAAAAAAATTCTCATTTATGATTTTAGACGAGCCTCTGGTGGCCACCGTGCACGTTGCATGGGGAGCTGGGGCCATCTGAGGACAGCCAGGACAAAAGATGCCCCAGCTGGGCAATGCTCCTTCCCGAAAAGCCCCTCTGCCTTGGAGACAGGGGAGCATCCGTGTCCTGTCCCCAGGGACAGTTTGGGGATGCAGGAGGGGATGCGCTGCCTCCCACTTGCAGGCTCCAGGCAGGGACTGTTGTAACCTTGTCTCATCTGTCTCCTTGTTTTTCTTGTGCCTTTTGCAGGGCAACAAGGGGGAAACGGGACCAGCAGGACCCCCAGGAGAAATGGGCTTAGCTGGCCTTCCCGGGCCCATTGGACCCCGAGGGCAGCCAGGACCCCCTGGACCCCCAGGGCCCCCTGGGCCGGGCTACGAGGCTGGATTTGTAAGTGATCACCCCTGTGATGGGGGGAGTGGGATTAACTGGAACGGGGGGCAGATGCAGCTCAGCCCCTTCTCTTCTCCTCACCTAGGGTGACATGGAGGGCTCGGGGCTGTCGGTCACTGCTGGCTCCCCCGGACCACCTGGACCCGAAGGATCACAGGTAGCTCCGCTCTTGCCCTTTCCCTCCCCTCCATCCTGGGCTCCCTGAGGGCATCCCCTGCCATTGTGTCCCCTGCCATCACCCAACGCTCATGGCCCCCTTCTTGTTGCTTGCAGGGGGTGCCAGGACTGCCAGGGGTGAAGGTGAGGAGCCCTTCAAACTCTTTCCTCACCCTTTGCTGGAGCAAGCCGCAGGAGTCTGGCTCCATCCTTGCAGGATGCCTGTGAGGATGCTGCTGCTCTGACATCTCTTTCCTTGCAGGGGGAGGTCGGGAGCCCCGGGCAGCCTGGTTTGCCAGGACCAAAGGTAGGAGTGCCAAGAGATTGGGATGGGTTTGCAGGGTGCAGGGCAGAACCCCTGTGCTTCCCAACTTGAGGCTGTCAGGAGGATGCTTCGTACTTCATCTTACCCTTTCCCACACCTCGTTGCAGGGAGATGCTGGCATGCCTGGCGTGGATGGCCGCCCTGGCCTGGAGGGCTTCCCCGGCCCACAGGTAGGAACATCAGCCCCTCTTTCCAGAAGCTCCCCTCGCTCCAAGCAGGTCACCCTTGATTGCTGTAGGGCCACTTGCAGCAGCTCCACCCCCAGCAGTCAAAATTCACCCCCTACCCAATACCTTCGGCTGTTTCCCTGCTCTGAGACTGGGCTCACCGCGTGCCAGGGCTGCCCACGTTGCTTGGGACCCCGTTCCCAATTAGCTTGCCACCCTACTCGCCATCACCTCCACCCAAAAGCATCCCAACCTGGCTCGTTGCCTGGACCTTGCAGGCAGAGGGGGCCGGGGGGGGCGTGGGGTGGCCTGAAAGATTTTGCTGAGCCACAGGGAGGAGGGGGTCTCTGCTTGTGAGCCAGGGTCCGGCTGCATGTGATGCCGAGGGGGAAGCTCACCCCTGCCTGCTCCTCCTTCCAGGGACCCAAAGGTGACAGAGGCAGCCCCGGCGAGAAGGTAGGGCCTACCAGGCGGGGGACGGGGACCGGCCGGTGGTGGCCCTGGGGCTGATGGCTTATGTCTTCCAGGGCGAGCGAGGCCAAGATGGTGTGGGGCTGCCCGGCCCCCCTGGTCCACCTGGTCCCCCTGGACAGGTCATCACTGTCTCAAGCGAAGATGTAAGTGGTGACACCTGACTTGACCACAGCTGGGGGAAACTAAAATTGGGGTAGGGGAAATGGGCCTGCCCAGCACCCGTCATGTGGGGGGACCCAGGGAGATCTCTCCAGGAGCTCTGACCTCTTCAGAGCAAAACTCAGGGTGAAAAACCTCATTTTTGTCTCTTTTTTCCAGAAATCTTTGGCGGCTTTGCCTGGTCCAGAGGTAGGAGCCCCCCTGCCACCCGTGCCCACCCCTCAGCAGTGCCAGGAGGGCACCTGGTTTCTTGGGAAGAGGGAGTTTACTCTTACAAGCATCTCTGCTTCTCTCCACAGGGCAGGCCAGGTCACGCCGGCTTCCCGGTGAGTTGGTGGCAGGGCTGGGGACCACAGGGGTGGCCCCGATGAAACCTCTGGGCATGCTTTCATGAAACCTTGGTTGCTGGTCCTGCTGCCGTTTGCCACAGCGATGCTGGGGTGGCAGTGATGGAGTTGGGGTTTGGGGTCTGCCTTTGGTCGGTCGGGGCTGACGCAGGCTCTGTGCTCCTCCCTGCAGGGACCAATGGGACCAAAAGGAGACCGGGGGTCATCTGGTCCCCAGGGCTCCCCAGGGTTGAAGGTAACTGCTCTGGACCACCTCCACCCCATGGGGTGGTCACACTCCTGGTCCCCGATCCTACCTGGCCACGGGGTCCTGGTGGTGACACCAGCCCCACCTGGTCCCTCCATCTCCCCTTGTGCCTTCTCGTCTCTTGCAGGGGGAGAAGGGGGAGCCCGGCGTCATCATCAGCCCCGATGGGACCGTAGTCACTGCGAAAGTGAAAGGAGAAAAGGTGGGTGTGCTGCGGGAATGGGGAGCACATCCTCGTGTGATGGGTGCCGGGTGGTCCCGGTGGTGATGTCCTTTCCCTCTCTGCTGTCCACAGGGGGAGCCGGGGCTGCAGGGACCAATGGGACCCTCGGTAAGTCACCATCACCATCCTCCTTGTATCCCAATGGGGAGGGATGGGGCTGATCCAGGGCAGAGGGGGATGGGGGATGCCCCTGCTCTGAGCATCCTCATCCTCATCTTCTCTCCCCTCCAGGGTCCCCAGGGACGAGCAGGGATGAAGGGAGAGATCGGCTTTCCGGGCAGACCCGTAAGACCTGCTCCCGGTTTGTTTGTCCCCTCGGCCATCGTCTCCTCCACTGCGTCCCCCAACCTGTTTGCATGTCTTGCACCCGCTGAACCCCCAACCCTATTGCGTCCTAGAAGGGTGGGGTGATGCCGGGGTGTTAGAGGTGACACCGGGGCATCGGAGGTGACACCAGGATGTCACCCCAGGGTTGGCGCGGGGAGATGGGGACAAGGCTCATCTGTGTTCCTCATCCACAGGGACGTCCTGGCATGAACGGGCTGAAGGGTGAGAAGGGTGACCCTGCGGATATCAGTAGCGTGCTGGGCTTGCGGGTGAGCACTGCCGTAGCCCTCCCTGGGCTACTGGCCCAGCAGAGGGGGGGGACACACCCCGAGGGTCTCCCTGGGGACTCGAATCGCTTTGGCAAAAGGCACATGCCTCCCTCTCTCAGGGAACGGTTGCCCCTCTGGGGCAGGACATGGCCCCGCTGTCCACTTTGCTGCACCCTGACACATCTTCTCTCCCCCGACAGGGTCCCCCAGGACCCCCAGGTCCCCCAGGACCCCCTGGGCCACCTGGCAGCATAGTCTATGACAACAGCAATGTGAGTAACGACACGGTCACCGTGATGAGGGTGCTGAGGGCTGATGACTGGGTCCCCCCAATGCCCCCTGCCTGGCTGGAGGGGATGGAGGATGCTCCAGTGGCGTCTTAGCCAGGGCTGGCACGTGGGGCGGTCATCAGTGTCACACTGGGAGGGGGGGGTCCCCAAGGATGCTGCTGTCTCTGCAGCCGCTTCCTTTGCATCCCCGCAGACCTTCAGTGACTCCGGCCATCCCGCGCTACCAGCCTTCCCTGGTAAGGGAGTGTCCTTCTCCCAGTCCCCTTGGGGCAGTTTGGGGGCCCCTGGCAAGGCAGGAGGGGACACAGGATGGACCCCTCCGTTAGAGCCGGGGCTGGGATGCTGCAGGGCTGAGATGGCATCTCTCTGCTGCTCGCCACAGGTTTCCACCAGATTCCAGGACAAAAGGGAGAGAAAGGCGATGCCGGAGCCCCGGGACCTCCAGGTAGGTGACCAGTCCCCGCAGGCAGAGGTGGACAGGTGACGGCTTGTGCCCATCTTGGCTTTCCTCTCCCCTCCTCTCTCTCTCCACAGGCCACTTCCCCTACGACCCAAGTCACT